GTGACCAAGATTGGATTTAAATATTTTCAGTGACCAAACATGAACGTTTTTTGTAATCTCAGTGACCAACCATGCAATTAACCCAAATTTAAGTATCTTGATAAAAAAAACTAACATCTAAAATGGAAATGAGTCGAGATTAGAGAATTTAATCATCATGAGGGCTACGATGTGTGTCAAGTTTGAATATGAATGAATAAATTTATCCAATAATGAAGTATCTTTACTAAGAATTTCTCACTATAAAGTCCTAATCTTTACAACATTGGTCGAAAGTTCGTCCAAACTCGAGAATCATGAATGTGTACTGGATTTTCAAAGGATCTAAAATCACAATCCCTTTCGGGGGCTAAATATCTCTAATCACAACCATAGATGCCAAACAAGAATGAAAAGAAGCCCCAAAAACTCAAAAAATAACATAACCTGCGATACGATGAACAGAATAAAACCATATCGAGCTATGATCCTGTCAATCCTACCCTTTTATTCTCCATAAAGGGGGCGTCGGGAGAGGATAAGAAATAAATAGCAGGATCGTAAGATTTTCCTCTTTATATATTACATATTGAACGATAGACAACCCCAATGGTTGTCTGATGTTATGGGGGTAAAAGCGAGATCTCTATCCCGGGGGTGGGAGATAGGCAAGTAGCACTTTTAATATGAGTATTATGGAGATAAGATAGGTTTGGCAAAGTATCTGAATAATTTTGAGTCTCCTATAAACACACACACATATATATATATATAATATCAAGGTATATTGTACTTTTGATTTTATGATTAGAAAACCGAAGCATCAGAAGTGAGTGTGCTATATATTAGAAATTTTCAATATAGACATACTACAAACTCTGTTTTGAATCAACACAAAATATTTAGAAGATCCAAAATGATTTAACATATACATAAGTTAATTAATATAAATTATAAAATAATTCTCTCCGGCCAACGGGCCGGGTAAAAAGCTAGTTATATTGATGTAGGTGCAATAAAATAAAGCTGAGTTGGATTGTATAAAGTCTGAGATGACAATAAAAACACCATATAAAATTGATTTTGCAATTTCATTAATGTGGATGCTCTAGCCTCTTAGTCCTCTTCTTTTGGAGCGAGAAAAATATATACCGAAATAGGAGCAAAACACAAATGTTAAATTTCTAAAATTTCAACTATAAAATTACTCTCCTATAAATACAAGGTCAAAACTACTCATCTTACTAATCAAAGTGTCTATACTGCATGTAAGGAGTTTCAACACCATCTCATTACAAACAAAGAGGCAACCCTGTTGGCGAAACTGTAGCACAAGGGTGGCGTCCGTATGAATATGATCGCTTTCGCCAAGTACAATTAGTGTTATAGAGATTCGAATAAAAGCTACATTTCCATAAACAAACTATCAAACCAACTGAAAACTCCCCGCATAACTGATGGATCAACTCAACCGAGTTGAGAAATATTAATTATCCATTCCCACTGATTGGAGAGGCCACCAATTCAGTACAATCTCGGTGATCAAGATGCTTGATCGATAGAAATAATTTAATTGATATGGCAATATATATTATATTGTTTGATTGAGTAATACATCCATCTATTCAAGGGTCACATAATTCAAATTTTTAGTTATCATTTATTGTGCACGTCATTTTCATCTGATGAAGATTGATTGGAAAGCTTAATATATGTTTTTTTCCCAGTGTACTTTCATAGTATCCATCTTTTTTTCAGTGTACTTATAGTTTTAACATGCGTGTCATATTTTTTTTCTTATGTAGTTTCGCTAACCCATTAACAAAAAGAGATATTATCTCTCAATTAACTCCATTTTTCTAGGGAGCATTCATTTTCTTTTTCTTTACCTTACCTTCCAATAATCTATGTTTGGTCAAAAGAAACAATTTATCTACTTCATCCTGAATTTAAATATAATTAAAGAAATCTTCATACCTTTTACCAATGTTTTCAAAACCAAACTAGACTTTGAACTGGAAAAGTTAGTGGTTTATCGTTTAATGGTTAATAGTTGATAGTTCAGTTCATGGACAATAACATAAAAAAATTATAATACACAGATTTAGGATTGAATTTATCACTAATCGTAGACCATTTCAAACCTGTATCATCCATCACCAAAATATATACCAAATCGTTCAAACTGTCTCATTAAATAAAATTCAAGTGAGTAATCAGAGTGGCAATCGGTAGTGGACCACATAAAGTCGACAAAGAGGTTGAGAAAAAAAGAAGAAGCATAAATAAAATTAGTAGTTCATGTTAGATGGTGTTAGGTTACGATGAAGTGTTTTTTTTTTCTTCAAATTTTTGTTGTGATTAAAAGAGTGAACCACTGGACCAGTAAAACTAGAGTGGTTAATCAAATGTTATGTCCAATTTTTAAAAACCGTTTGGTATATTACTAGTTGTTCAAGTAAATAGATCGGATTGCTATTAAATGAGTACTGTTAATCCAATTCGATTCTTATAACAATGCCTTTTAAACTTAGGAAATATTTAAATGTCAATAAAAGTTTTTATATCCAAATGACTAATAATTCGAAACAAGGTTAGGAAGTTGGAACAGTTGAATCACATCACTTAGGAGTGGACAGTGGTGGCAGAAGCTGCATTGTTGCCGGTTCCTTTGATAATTTATAATTACTCTCTTCATCATCATTCATAATAGGGGAAAGCTGCATTGTTGCAATAATTCATCATAATTCATAATCCACCATGTTCGTAAAAGTAAAATCAATGACCACTAAAATTTGGATTAATTGCATGGTTGGTCACTGAGATTACAAAAAACGTTCATGTTTGGTCACTGTAAATATTTAAATCCAATCTTGGTCACTCAAATTAGTTAAATGGTTCAAGTTTGGTCACTCTCCGTCCAACTCCGTTAAATTTGTCTGATGTGGCAGTCAACCCTCAAAATTGACCGTTAACTCAGTGACGTGACAATTAAAAAATAATAAATAAAATTAATTTTAATTTCCAACTCATTTTCACATTAAAATAAAATAAATAAAACAAAAAAAATTACAAATAAAGGGCGCTTCCTCCGTTAATGTCGGCCGAAAAGGACGAGCGGCGGAAGGCGGCGGCATTCATCAAGCTGGTCCACCCCAAGGGCATCGTGGAGCGGCTCACCCGCCCGACCCACGTTCCCTGTAACCGATTGGGAATGCATAGCGACGACCCAACAACGTCAGCAGCACTGTAGCACAATTGTTTCTCTACACCAACACCCCCAAATCAAACACCCAAAAACAATCAATCAACCCAATTCGATATCTAATAGAGTATTTACTGTGTTGACGATATTAATCGATTCAGCTGCAAAGAAGAAACGAGAACTGAAATTCGAACTTGAAATTCGAAACTCGTTCTCTGTTTTATACTCGAGCCATTCGCCGGTCTCCCTGATCTTCTTCTCCACCGGGCCTTCGAAAGGGTCAGTACTGCGGTTGCTGCCGTCCTCCGATTCCAACCACAAATCGGCAATCCCGGACCCGCGGCCCTCCGCAGCGCCGGGAGGCTCGGCGTCGCGGTAGCTTCCGGCGCCAATCGCGCGCTCGACCCTCAGAACCTTGAATTGCTGCCGGAGAAGTTTGCCGTTTGCATTATTACTCTTCTTGAGGTTGGTCTTGCTGGAAGTTGTTGCTGGGAGGATTAGAGGAGCTTTGGGTTTAATTGGGTTCTGGGGAGTGGCGGGGGGCCCGGTGGTTCTGGTTTGTGGCGACGGGGAGGAAGAGCTACCGGCGGCAGGGTTTGTGTTTGGAAGGGCTCGTTAGGGGTACAATCACTTACAATCCCTATACCTGTCGAGCTGGGGTTTTTGGGGAATTAGTGGCGAGGAAGCGTCCCTTTATAATTGTAATTATAATATTTTTTTTATTTTACTTTAATTTGAAAATGAGTTGGAAATGGTAGAAAATTAAAATTAATTTTATTTATTATTTTTTAATTGCCACGTCACTGAGTTAACGGTCAACTTTGAGGGTTGACTGCCACATCAGACAAATTTAACGGAGTTGGACGGAGAGTGACCAAACTTGAACCATTTAACTAATTTGAGTGACCAAGATTGGATTTAAATATTTACAGTGACCAAACATGAACGTTTTTTGTAATCTCAGTGACCAACCATGCAATTAACCCACTAAAATTTATGTGGTTTATTAATACAATCTCTTTAGGAGATTTTCAATTACAAACTACACAGTAATTGGAGATTCATATCACACCTGATTAGATAACTAGATTGAAAACATCCTTATAGTTTAATAATGGAATTTAAATGGATATAGATAATAGAAAAAGAATGATGCATAGCTCTTAATCAATTAATGAGTTGTTGTCTTGTAACACAATTACTACAAGCCTACAAACAATAACGACAGAGAGAACTTTGAATCAAATTGGAAGAAAATAACAAGAGATAAGACCATATCTACACACAACATAACTGAAAATAATCCACCCAAATTAGCAAATAATCGCAGGAGATGATCCACGGAATCCAAGCAAAAGTGGTTGTCAAATCGATTTATATCAGTATGCCGGTTTAGCAAGTGGAATGGTTTAACCGGTGGCACATACCGGTTTGTGCCGGTTCATGCCGGTCAATTTTAAAAATAAAATTATAAATACTCCTATTTAAACATGACAGTTAACGTCAATACCTAAACATTTATACTTGAATCCAACAAATAACATCAATATTTAACTTTTATACTCATAAAATAAATAATAAAATAATTTTTATCAATTAAATTCTCTAAAATAAAGTCATTTTACTTAGAGATTCGTATATCGATCATGTCGGTTATACTGGTGGTGTCACGCCGGTTTTATGACCGATACCGGTTGAACCCGGTACAACCGGTGGCACGCCAGCGGGCGTGATAACCATGAGCAAAACCCTATTTTTTCCAGTCATTTCCATTATATTATTATAATTATACAGGCGCATATTCCGTACAAGATTTCTCATAATTAGCCAAACCCCCCTGAAACGAAGCCGCCATTAAAGCCAGATGAGCTGCTTCGCTTCCTCTTCATTACATCTCCTGCTACTACTATACTAGCAGAAGGAATAGTAATGGCTGCCTGGCTCAAAATCCCCTTACGGGACAAAAACACACAGGGAGACAGACCCAAACGAAAATAAAACAAGGAAAAATTGCTTCTTCTCTTTACCAAACTTAGAGCAGAAGCAGAGATAACCAGTAAACCACCCATTCCATATCCACGTATCTACACAAAAAAACTACTAACAAGGCGGCCGGCCAGTAAACCAAGCAGCGCCTGATACCCTGTACAATACACACAATCTCTTGCAAGCCGCAGTCACTCTATTTACTCTTCTTGTCCAGAAAGTTCCCATTGATTCTGATTCAGGTTCCTCCACCACCTGTCATCCATGGATGCCCTGCAACAGATTTGGGAAGAAAAATGTTAAAAGGATGTTCTAACCGTAAGCAGAGATGAAAGGGTTTGTTTTCCAGAGGGAATCCGTTGATTTTGTGTTTGGAATTGAAGGAAACGGGGGGAAATTCTGATGAACAGAGCAAAAAACAGTGTGTTGAATGAGTAAAGAACTTACTGAGCACTTGCTCGGCAGAGAACCTCCTGTAGACATCCTTACACAGCATCCTCCTCAAAAGATCCTTCGCCGCAGGTGAAACCGACCCGAAAACCCTAGTCGGAAACCTAAGATTCGCCCTCAACACGGCGTCAAAAATCTCCACCGCCGTCTCCCCATAAAACGGAGGAAACCCAGCGAGCATTATGTACAAAACCACTCCACAGCTCCAAACATCCACCTTCTCACCGTACTCCCACCCGGACAAAACCTCGGGAGCAACGTAGTACGGCGTACCCACAACTCCGGCCGCCGCCTCCGCCCCAGCCACCACTGTTAACTAAGAAATGGAGAGGAAAATTAGGGTTCAACAAACAGAGAAATGAAGGCGAAGGGAATTGCAGAAGAGAGAAGAAGACGAGTGAACTGTCTTCGTCGGTTCTCTTCAATTATTAGCATGGGCCGAAAGCAGAGAAAAGCCCAAGGGGAAAAATTAAAAGGAAGTCGGTTTATTTATCAGCTGAGCCCAAGGAAGTTTAAGCCCATTATTTGATCTCTGCTTACAGTCATCTTGTCGAGAAGATGAACCAGAGAAGCAGGGGAGCTTCAACCAAAACAGAGCACAAGCTGATCGAGTGACCAAGATTAAGCGCAGCAGAAAGATTAAATGAACACAGGCAATTTAACGAGGTTCCCAATCTACTGGTCACTCCTCGTCCTAGACTCAGCACTTTGCTGACATCTAGGAGACTCTTTTTATTCAATTTTACCTATCAAGCAAAAGATAAACGAGATTGACTCAAAGTACAAGTGCAGGAATTTTAACCCGGATCTTAATCCCCAGACCCGTTACACCACTAATCAAACAGAACCTTTTCCCCTGTTTGATTAACCCAGATTGTAAGCAGCCCTATTCCACCCTTACAAAAAGTACCGATCAAGTTCACAGAACACTTGTATATATAGCCTTCAGCAAGCTTTAGACCGTTGCTTTTGAATTGCGGAGGAGGATGGTTATGGAAACTCTGAGCTGTTCCTGGTTGTCCTTCTTTCCTTCTTTAGAGCAATCCTGATTTGGTAACTTCATTCAACAATCTCCCCTTAAATCAGAGATTGCCGATTGCCTGCAAAAGAAAACATTCCTTCTCTCGACCAACAGCACAAACAGCTCAACAAAGATAAGGAGTGCTTAAACGATTAAGAGAAGAACGAACTTAAGAAACACTCAACCATTCAACAGTAGCAGTCAATAACCAGAACCAAACACAACCACGCAGTCAAAAAAACTCAAAGCAAACAAAGGTCCAAAACGCCTCTTAATCCAACTAAGAAAGATAACCAGCAAAGCACTCAAGCTCCCCTTCAACACGATCTCAGCGAGAACAAAATAGCAGAGACATCTCTCTCAAGCACCATCGCTGACGTCGTCTGTCCCATATTCTAACAGAGCCTGAAGTGCTTCGACAAACGGTTCCAGCCCAGGTCCATCATCAGAGCTTCCACTGCTGCTGCTGTCATCAGAGCCGCTGCTTACCCAGACAACATCATTAACATCATTCTCCCCTTCAACGGCAATCTCCAGATCATCCAGAATATGATAAGCGAGAGGATACAGAGATGGCGTCGCAGTGAGAAACGGCGAGAGGTGGAGGTGCAGTTCAAGGAGCAGAGATGTGACTAGAGGTCCAAAAGCAAGAGGCCCAGTCAGGGCAGCATCACTAAGGCGCAAAAGGTTCCCAAAGACTAGGTGAGCATAGTCGAGGGGAGTCCCATGGACAGCATGAGAGATGATCCAAAGATCGAGAGGAAGGACGAGGTCCAAGGACTCAGCACGAGGAACAAAAATCCGAGTGATGCAGTAGTGAAGCAGTCGAAGAGATGGCAACAACGCAGAGACCGGCATAAACATACCAGTGGCAGGCAGCACTCCAGTAAGCTGGTGGAACTCATCAGGGTAGTGGAAGGCAAAGAGTTCCAGTTCAGAAGCGTCGGCAAGAGCTTCTCCAACTCGAGGGATATGAAGAGTTTCGGATAAATCATCGAGATGGAGGGTGAACAAATGCCCAAACACAATGGATGAAAAAGAGCGGGAACCCAGCCCGGGGGAGCGAAAGTTGGAGAAGAAGTATCGGACCAGATCAGGGCATATGAGAGATGAAAAAGGCTGGTCTAGAAGGAATTCCCATCCTAAATTGCGAATGAACCCATGGACATCAAGACCCAATTCCACTAGCTCAGGAAAGGGAACATGATAAGAGGGCAGAAAGGGACGGGACGCAAAACTTTGGATATGACGGTGATAGTTGGAGGGAATGGGCTCAAAAAATAGGGTGCCAGTGTATGTGATAGCGAAAACCATGATAACAGGAGGACAGGGAATACTCAATTGAGGGTATGCAAGGACTGAGGAGGGACGAGCCGCACTTAAATACCCGCAGACTAACTCAAGCAAGGAAAGGGAATAAATGCAGGAAATCAAGAGAATCAAGATCAAAAAGACAAGAAACGAAACACTACTGACCCTAGACTCAACAGGAAAGAAAACAAAGCAGGAAAAGGAAAGCAAGAGCAGCAAATTATGCCGCAAGGATCTCGGTTAGAGATGCTAAAGATCTCAACCCGATTTCGAAGCATAAAAAGGTAAACCGATCAGCAGGCAATGGTTTAGTAAAGAGATCCGCCAATTGAAATTCTGTAGGAATATATTGTAAGGTAACTATATTATCCTGTACTAGATCTCGTATGAAATGATATTTAACTTCGATGTGCTTGGTACGAGAGTGCTGAACAGGATTCCTAGTCATGCTAATGGCACTAGTGTTATCACAGAACAATGGAATAGTAGGAACTAATAAACCATAATCAGCTAACTGATTTTTAAGCCATAATAACTGAGTGCACGAACTGCCTGCTGCTATATACTCTGCTTCAGCTGTTGACAGAGCAACAGCACCTTGTTTTTTGCAAGACCATCACACTATAGAAAGCCCAACAAACTGACAACTGCCTGTAGTACTCCTACGATCGGTAAGACTACCGGCAAAGTCAGAGTCACTGTAACCCATGAGGTCAAACATATTCTGTTTACTATACCATATTCCAACATCTGATGTGCCTTTGATATATCTGAAAATCCTCTTAACAGCCGTTAAGTGACTTTCCTTTGGATTTGACTGAAAACGTGCACATAAACAGACACTATGTTGTATGTCAGGCCTGCTGGCCGTCAGGTATAGTAAAGATCCGATCATGCCTCGATAGAGGGATTCATCAACTGGAGTTCCAGCTTCATCCTTATCTAATTTAATGTTAGTCGCCATAGGAGTGGGACTTGAATTCAAGGCAGTCATGTCGAACTTATTCAGCATACTAGATATGTACTTTGATTGATTAATGAAAATTCCATGAGGGGTTTGCTTGACTTGCAATCCTAGGAAATATTGCAATTCTCCCATCATGCTCATTTCAAAGACATTTTTCATGGATTCACAAAAATCAGAACAAAGTTTTTCGTTAGTGGATCCGAAAACTATGTCGTCCACGTAAATTTGAACAATTAGAAGATCATCTGACACTCTTTTAGTGAACAAGGTTTTGTCAACACTACCTTGTATGAACTTTTCATCTTTAAGAAAAGTTGTTAATCGCTCAAACCAGGCTCGAGGAGCCTGTTTAAGTCCATACAGGGCCTTATTAAGTTTAAAAACGTGATTTGGAAATTGATGGTCTATGAAGCCAGGGGGTTGTTCAACATAAACATCCTCTTGAATAACCCCATTTAAAAAGGCGCTTTTCACATCCATCTGGTAAAGTTTAAAGTTCATATAGCTAGCAAAAGCACAAAGTAATCGGATTGATTCAAGACGAGCTACAGGAGCGAATGTTTCGTCATAATCAATCCCTTCCTCTTGCAAATAACCCTGAGCCACTAGTCTAGCTTTATTACGAGTAATGACACCTTCTTCATTAGACTTATTTCGAAACACCCATTTTGTTCCAAGAACCGTAGCATCTAAAGGACGAGGTACTAAATCCCAAACATGCAAATAGTCAAATTGATTTAATTCTTCAGTCATAGCAATAGACCAACCATCGTCTTTCAAAGCATCTTTGTAATTCTTAGGCTCTACTTGAGAAATGTAGGCGTACTGACCTGGGGTGTATCTGTTACCTCGAGTTTGAATTCCTGCATTGGCATCACCAATGATTTGCTCTGCTGGGTGACGTCTCTGTATATGAGGTGGAGCCGCAACTTGTGTGTCAATTAAGTCTTCTGAGTTCTGATGCGCAGTTAAGTCTGCTTGAGTATTTAGGTCTTGACCCTCATTTGTTTCCTCATTTGTTCCTCTCATGTCATTTTGAACAGTAGTATCTTCATTCAAAGACCCTCTGGTCATTTCTAGAAGATCAAACTGCATCGTTTCCTGTTCAGAGACCTTAGAGATAGGATTAGCATCATTAAACTTAACGTGGACAGATTCTTCCACCTTTTTGGTTCGCTTATTATAAATACGATAGGCCTGCCCTTTAATAGAGTACCCCAAAAATATAGCCTCATCAGACCTAGCATCAAACTTTCCTAGATACTCCTTAGTGTTAAGCACGTAACAGGGACATCCAAACGAATGAAAGTAAGCAATATTAGGCACTTTATTCTTAAAGACTTCATAAGGAGTTTTCAGTAAACCTTTTCTAATAAGCACACGGTTCAGAACATAGCAAGCTGTACTAACCGCTTCTGCCCAAAAGAATTTTGGTAGGTTATACTCAAAAAGCATGGTACGAGCACATTCTATAATAGTGCGATTCTTCCTCTCGACAACTCCATTTTGTTGTGGAGTACGAGGGGCTGAAAAACTATGAATTATCCCTGAATCATTACATAGATTCTCAAATTCTTCTGACACGAATTCCCCACCATTGTCACTTCTAATGTTCTTAATTTGTCCTGAGAATTGTTTCACAAAAGACTTAAACTTTTTAGCTGCCTCATCTTTGTGAGCTAAAAAGAAAACCCAGGTATAGCGAGAATAATCATCTACCAGAACTAGAACATAATTCTTACCACCCAAGCTAGTGACATTACATGGACCAAAAAGATCCATGTGTATAAGCTCAAACATTTGCTCAGAAGTTATATCAGACTTCGATTTAAAGGATTTCTTAGTATGCTTACTAGTAATACATACTTCACAGAAGAAATCAGTTTTCTGTTTTAGCATGGGAACACCTCGGATACAGTCTGATTTGGACAAATCTACTAGCTTAGGCAGGCTGATATGTCCCATTCTACGATGCCATAGAAGCTCTTGTTGATATGAAGCAACAAAACAC